CCTTGGTATTTGATGATGTTATAAGTACAACTAATTTCTCCCCTTGGTATTTGATGATGTTATAAGTACAACTAATTTCTCCCCTTGGTATTTTTCAGGTGAAAACTGCTCTGTTAACATTGACGAATGTGTAGTAGACAACTGTACAAATGGTGCCACCTGTTTGGACGGTATCAACAAGTACAGCTGTCAGTGCGCCCCTGGTTACAAGGACATGTACTGCCAGACAGAAATAGATGAATGTTTGGAGTATCAGCCCTGTCAGCATGGCTCCACCTGTACTGACCGGATTGCCAACTACGACTGTACATGTGCTGATCTTTATGTAGGGAAAAAGTATGCTGGAAAGAACTGCACATTTGAATTGACAGCATGCAACAGTAATAACTGCCAGAACGGTGCCACGTGTGACCCATTCCTACGTAACGAGACAACAGGTGAACAGGCATACAGGTGTATCTGTCCGAGCGGATACACTGGTCAACTCTGTGAAAGAATCACCAGTGGAACATTTCAAAACACTTCACGATTCAGGGCTGAACTAACCTCCAATACCACCAACATCATCTCTTTTCAGTTTGCCACAACACTTCCGAATGGCATGCTGTTTATCTGGGAGGGAACATCTCCATCTAGGACATTTGTTACTATTGAGCTGGTTGGAGGGCATGTAAACATGAGATACATCCTAGGTAGTGACATATCATCTGCAAGCATGAAGACCATAGGATTACCTTTCTTATTGAACAATGCAGATTGGCATACTATAAAACTGCAACAAAATGCTAGCAAGTTAACATTGACACTAGTGAGTGAAGAGTGTCCATCTGAATCTGAATGTACAAAGGAGGTTAGTCATACACCCAATCTGGCATTGAAAGACATTTCTATTGGAAGAGGAAGGAATTCTTTTATAAATGATAACACACTTTCTATGACAAATTTTATAGGATGTGTTCAGGATGTGATTATTAACAGGGTCATTCAGATTATTTCTGAGGGAGATGCCATTGCTGTTACTAAGGGATGTACTCGTGTTGACCAATGTAACCCTGGTCCTTGTAATGGTAATGGGGTCTGTACTGACCTCTGGAGTTCCTTCAGGTGTGACTGTGGCCGACCATACCTGGGAAACACCTGTAATCAAGGTAGGTAACAGCACCTTTCACAGTAGATTTAAAAAAAAATAACTTCTAGGGTTTAGGAGGGTAGTAATAGATCTAGAGTTGTACTATCTGACATGCAGCCATCGGTTTCTGGTTCATGATATTTCACCTTAATTACCTCAGTAACACATGAAATTTCATAGACCCATTTCTCATGCAGGGACCAAGTACGCTGTTCATTTTGAAGTTGAAAAATCAAAGTCACTGTGTTGCAGTACTTTTAGATGTATTTTCATAACTTTAGCAAAGCTCACCTTTTTATATATACCTGTCAAAATTTTGACGGAACATGTCATGGTATGGGGATCCCGAAGCATCAATCTGTCTGTCCACACTTCAGTTTCTGCAAGATAATTTGTTTAAATGTCGTTCAATTTTGATGAAACTTGGTATGCTTGTACATCATACAAAGGCTGAGGCTAATTTGGAAATTGAGCAAAACCCCTACTTAATTAATTAGCATTTTGTGCTCCCATTGGTTGAAAGTTTCTGGATAATAAATTTGTCAAATATGACCAGATACAAACACAGGCATTAAAACTCATGAAAGAACTGTAAATCTGAATGAATTGCAAGCAAGTGTAACCATCCTTGTTTGGACTTATCGGTCATTTACACATATTGGGAGTCTACGAGTTGAAGTAATTAGCAGGAGCTTATATTTTTTGCTTTGAAAACTGTCATATTCCAAAAAAGTAATTTGCTGTTCAGGTTTTACCTCGATACTTGTGTAAACATCTTGGTCCATCTGTAGTACTCGCATGAACTGTTGATATTGAATGTCTAACTTGAACCATATTTTCAGTATTGCTATTATTTTTCAGTGCGGTGACGTTGTTGAGTTGTCAATTTTGTTTGTTTTTCAGAATATGTTGCAGCAACATTTTCATTTGAAAATACGAAGTCAAAAGCAAGCTTCGTAATTCCTGAAAGTCTGAAGTCGACCTTGACCTCTGACATTGACCTTTCACTATTTATGAGGACCAGAGAAGCCAATGGTTTTGTTGTATTTTTCGGTTTTTATGGTAACAGTGCTGCGAGTCGGACATTCCTGACTCTGGAGACGTATGGTGGTGCTCTTGTCAGCAGGTTTGTGATGTGTAACTTCCAGAAAGTTCTATTTGCTAATAATACATTATACAACAGTGGGTTTAAGCATTTTGTTAGTATGAAATTCTACAATGGACGTTACACTATTTCAGTAAATAATACTGATTTGGACAGTGTGCTTATCACTGCTCAAAATTGTTCATTTAATGCAGACAAATTATACTTTGGAGGAGAAATTCCAGAGGTCAGTTCCAATGTTATTACAGAAAGCTCAAGGGTCAGGAGATCTTTGTACCCTGCTGTTAATGAGATCAGCAATGATATCAGTAATTTTAACAATGTGACGAGTTATAAGGGAACGCTTCAGGATGCTCAGCTAAACAAGAACAGTCTCCAGTTTATTGCCCCGACTGACCCCAGCATTGTGAAGATTAACCCCATTAATGTGGAGGACAACTCGACTCTGACTGAAGGAGAACAATCGGACAACATCTGTAACCTAACCCGGCCTTGTCTCCACAACTCTTCCTGTACAAACGTATTCTTCAACGACTTTAGGTCAGTCAATTACTCACTTATAAGTTATCCCTATCAGTTTTCTTTCTCTCTCTATAAGTTATAAGTTGTCCCTATCAGTTTTCTCTCTCTCTCTATAAGTTATCCCAATCAGTTTTCTTTCTCTCTCTATAAGTTATAAGTTATCCCTATCAGTTTTCTTTCTCTCTGTATAGGTTATAAGTTATCCCTATCAGTTTTCTTTCTCTCTCTATAAGTTATAAGTTATCCCTATCAGTTTTCTTTCTCTCTCTATAAGTTATAAGTTATCCCTATCAGTTTTCTTTCTCTCTCTATAAGTTATAAGTTATCCCTATCAGTTTTCTTTCTCTCTCTATAAGTTATAAGTTATCCCTATCAGTTTTCTTTCTCTCTCTATAAGTTATAAGTTATCCCTATCAGTTTTCTTTCTCTCTCTATAAGTTCATACACTCGACTAACATAAGTAATATGTTTGTATTTTTTTTGTTACAATGAATGTCAATTTGGTAATGATAATAGATTTACTGATGCATTAAGTTTTAAGGACATGTTTATTGCAACTTCTTTCTCCCCCAACAACAGCTGTAAGTGTCAGCGAGGTTTCCGAGGAAAGGATTGTGGAGAATTAGATTTCTGTCATGAAGATTCATGTCCATCTGGGGCAACTTGCCAAAGTCTAAACGATGGGTTTGAATGTAAGCATTAGTTTGTTTTAATATCTGTGTGTACATTTAAAAGGTTATATAACATATCTTAAACCTTTTGGTTTGCTAAATTGGATGCATAACACTGAAAGACTTTGCTTCATTATGCTTACTAAGTGTAATTATCCTGTTAAAACATTTTGTTGTTGTTCAAAATTATATACAAGTTATTAATTTTATGAGGTAGATACAAAAGCCAAACAATTCCCCGTCCCAAACCATTTTGTGGGATCATAGCTGTATCACAGAACTTACAGTATGTGGTATGAAATAACATTGTTAGTGACAATGGGATTGATTTAAGTTGTGACTGTAGTTAATTGAAATGAATTAATTACAAACTGACTGTCCAAGTAAAAGTACAGACTAAACATTATTGGTGTATACATGGAGCACGTAGCTATTTAACTTAGCTCTGATCTGTTAATGTATGAATTTCCACCTAAAGGGGTCCAAAACTCAAGCTACTTATTTGTCAGCCTTTAATAAATGTATTTTTCACCACAGGTCTGAGTACAACACTGTTCAACCCCACAACAAGCTCCATCATATACAAGGCAGTTTTGCAGCCAAACCGACTCATCCACAGACTTTCTCTCAAAATCAAAACAATGGTGAAAAATGGTGCTTTATTAAACATTGGATACAACAACTATTTTGTGAAGCTTAGCATTGTGGGAGGAAGGGTGACCGTGACATGTAAATTTGGAGATGCTGGCGAGGACACGTTTATGGCTGACTATTACGTGAGTGATCAGCAGTGGTATCAGGTGACGTTTCAGGACATGACAGACAATGTCACATTGACAGTCCAGTCAGAAACAGGGGGGATAACCCATGCCAGGACATCTCTTATTCCTCAAAATAAATTACATTCCTTGTCTTATCTGGTTACAAGCTCAGATGTTCAACGTGTTAAGTTTGGGCAGGCTTTTGGCTCCAGAACTCCTCAGTTTTATCGTGGGTGTGTAAAGGAGGTTCGGCTAGGTGGTATCCTTTTACCATTTTTTGAGCAATCATCTTTCACAAATTTCACAACTCAAGAATATTTTGAGGTTGTGAGTATGTCATCTATTCCAATTGGGTGTGTGGAAGGAGCCAGATGCTCCTACCAACGATGTCAAAATGGTGCCCAGTGTCTGCCCGGTTACCATGACTACCAGTGCACATGTCCAAGTGGGTATGAGGGCCGGTGGTGTGAGACCAATACACCAGACTGTGGTCCTCAAAGCTGTGACTCCAACCATGCTGTGTGTGTGGATATGGTGGATAACTACTTCTGTGACTGTCAACCCGGCTACACAGGCACAAGGTAAGATCCATTACAAAGAACGGTTACGAGGTACTGTTTAAAGGTTAAAGAGAATGTATCAGCTTGTTCAAATATAAAGATTGAAAAATAATGACTGGATATGCAACATATGTTTAGACCACAGGTACTGGGCACACTAATAGTAATATGATGTGTATATACTCTAATAATAGTATTATATGTGTATATTCTATATAAAAGTAATAATGGTTTAGACTGAACTTCAGTCATAGAAATACATTCAAAATATTCAATTTAGGTGTTACAATCACATTCACAGAGAGCTGTAATTCTTTTTTCTTGCGATAGTTTAACATGTCTGTATAAAATGTATGTGTATGTTTTTGTGTATGAAACATCTGCAACACCATAGCTGATCTTTGTCCCCACTGCACTGATGTATTATTGACTTTGTGACAAACTGTGTCCCTACAGGGCCATTGTGGATTTGTGACAAACTGTGTCCCTACAGGGCCATTGTGACTTTGTGAAACACTGTGTCCCTACAGGGCCATTGTGACTTTGTGCCAAACTGTGTCCCTCCAGAGCCATTGCGACTTTGTGACAAACTGTGTCCCTACATGGCCATTGTGGATTTGTGACAAACTGTGTCCCTACAGAGCCATTGTGACTTTGTGACAAACTGTGTCCCTAAAGGGCCATTGTGACTTTGTGACAAACTGTGTCCCAACAGGGCCATTGCAACTTTATGACAAACTGTGTCCCTACAGGGCCATTGTGGATTTGTGACAAACTGTGTCCCTACAGAGCCATTGTGACTTTGTGACAAACTGTGTCCCAACAGGGCCATTGCAACTTTATGACAAACTGTGTCCCTACAGGGCCATTGTGGATTTGTGACAAAATGTGTCCCTACAGGGCCATTGTGGATTTGTGACAAAATGTGTCCCTACAGGTCCATTGTGACTTTGTGACAAACTGTGTCCCTAAAGGGCCATTGTGACTTTGTGACAAACTGTGTCCCAACAGGGCCATTGTGACTTTGGGACAAACTGTGTCCCTACAGGGCCATTGTGACTCTGTGACAAACTGTGTCCCTACAGGGCCATTGTGGATTTGTGACAAAATGTGTCCCTACAGGGCCATTGTGGATTTGTGACAAGCTGTGTCCCTACAGGGCCATTGCAACTTTGTGACAAACTGTGTCCCTAAAGGGCCATTGTGACTTTGTGACAAACTGTGTCCCAACAGGGCCATTGTGACTTTGGGACAAACTGTGTCCCTACAGGGCCATTGTGACTCGGTGACAAACTGTGTCCCAACAGTGCCATTGTGACTTTGTGACAAACTGTGTCCCAACAGGGCCATTGCGACTTTGTGACAAACTGTGTCCCTACATGGCCATTGTGGATTTGTGACAAACTGTGTCCCCACAGGGCTATTGCGACTTTGTGACAAACTGTGTCCCCACAGGGCTATTGCGACTTTGTGACAAACTGTGTCCCCACAGGGCTATTGCGACTTTGTGACAAACTGTGTCCCCACAGGGCTATTGCAACTTTGTGACAAACTGTGTCCCTACAGGGCTATTGCGACTTTGTGACAAACTGTGTCCCCCCAGGGCTATTGCGACTTTGTGACAAACTGTGTCCCCACAGGGCTATTGCGACTTTGTGACAAACTGTGCCCCTACAGGGCCATTGCAACTTTTAATACACTTTTAATAAGGCTTATGTGTCTATCAATGTTGTTTAGGGGAACAACATTTAAGGGAACTCCAATATATTATATTGATGGCTAAAAACTAGTAACATTTATGGGAACATGTACAATATATATAGGTACAGATACATAAAAAATACTACCATATTGATTTTTGTTTCTCTGTGCATCAATTATACATGATAATGTACGTTGAGGGGACTTTCTTGAATGAGTTAGTATCTGTGTACTACAGTACTGCCTGCTGAGCTTTATATCTGATGGACACATTTCAACAAAGTCACTTGTATTTCATACTATTACTTGAATAATGGTACGGACTGGGAGATTCTAGATAATAAATAGTAGAGTAGGTTTTCTGTAATTATGTACTGGAACAACAGTTGTAACAGCATTAAACTGGAATGCTGAAATTATTTATTGAAGAATGCTACCTATTATCATATAAGGTTATAGTTGTGTACAATAAATATCTATACAGATATCTGACTTATGAGACGACCAGAATATCACAAACACAACCATTATTTTACAAAAGAGACAGCTGGTGTAGATCTCCTATTGCTATCTTTCTGGGGATAAGCCTATCTAATACACACTTGATAGGAAGGTGGGTGTAATTATGGAGGACTGTAGTCTAGGTAATAGAGGACCTGTAGTCTTAGTAACGGAGGACCTGTAGTCTTAGTAACAGAGGACATGTAGTCTTAGTAACAGGGACCTGTAGTCTAGGTAATGGAGGACCTGAAGTCTTAGTAATGGAGGACCTGTAATCTAAGTGATGGATGACCTGTATTCTTAGTAACAGAAGACCTGTAGTCTAAGTAACAAAGGACCTGTAGTCTTAGTAACAGATGATCTGTAGTCCTAGTAACAAAGGACCTGTAGTCTAAGGAACACAGGACCTGTAGTTTTTGTAACAGAGGTCCTGTAGTCTTGGTATCAAAGGACCTGAAGTCTTAGTAACAGAGTACCTGTAGTCTTGGTAACAGAGTACCTGTAGTCTTAGTAACAGGGGACCTTGAGTCATAGTAACAGAGGTCCTGTAGTCTTGGTAACAAAGGACCTGAAGTCTTAGTAACAGATGACCTGTAGTCTTAGTAACAGAGGACTTATAGTATTGGTAACAGAGGACATGTAGTCTTGGTAACAGAGTACCTGTAGTCTTAGTAACAAAGGACCTGTAGTCTTAGTAACAGGGACCTGTAGTCTTAGTAACAGGGGACCTTGAGTCTTAGTAACAGAGGACCTGTAGTCTTAGTAACAAGGACCTGTAGTCTAATTAATGGATGACCTGTAGTCTTAGTAACGGAGGACCTGTAGTCTAAGAAACAGAGTACCTGTAGTCCTAGTAACAGAGGACCTGTTGTCTTAGTAACAGAGGACCTGTAGTCTTAATAACAGAGGACCTGTAGTCTTGGTAACAGAGGACCTGTAGTCTTAGTAACAGAAGACCTGTAGTCTTGGTAACAGAGTACCTGTGGTCTTAGTAACAGGGGGCCTTGAGTCTTAGTAACAGAGGACCTGTAGTCTTGGTAACAGAGGACCTGTAGTCTTAGTAACAGAAGACCTGTAGTCTTGGTAACAGAGTACCTGTGGTCTTAGTAACAGTGGGCCTTGAGTCTTAGTAACAGAGGACATGTAGTCTTAGTAACAGAAGACCTGTAGTCTTGGTAACAGGACACATGTAGTCTTAGTAACAGAGTACCTGTAGTCTTAGTAACTGGGGACCTTGAGTCTTAGTAACAGAGGACCTGTAGTCTTAGTAAGAGAGGACCTGTAGTCTTAGTAACAGGGACCTGTAGTCTAATTATGGAGGACTGTAGTCTAGGTAATAGAGGACCTGTAGTCTTAGTAACGGAGGACCTGTAGTCTTAGTAACAGAGGACATGTAGTCTTAGTAACAGGGACCTGTAGTCTAGGTAATGGAGGACCTGAAGTCTTAGTAATGGAGGACCTGTAATCTAAGTGATGGATGACCTGTATTCTTAGTAACAGAAGACCTGTAGTCTAAGTAACAAAGGACCTGTAGTCTTAGTAACAGATGATCTGTAGTCCTAGTAACAAAGGACCTGTAGTCTAAGGAACACAGGACCTGTAGTTTTTGTAACAGAGGTCCTGTAGTCTTGGTATCAAAGGACCTGAAGTCTTAGTAACAGAGTACCTGTAGTCTTGGTAACAGAGTACCTGTAGTCTTAGTAACAGGGGACCTTGAGTCATAGTAACAGAGGTCCTGTAGTCTTGGTAACAAAGGACCTGAAGTCTTAGTAACAGATGACCTGTAGTCTTAGTAACAGAGGACTTATAGTATTGGTAACAGAGGACATGTAGTCTTGGTAACAGAGTACCTGTAGTCTTAGTAACAAAGGACCTGTAGTCTTAGTAACAGGGACCTGTAGTCTTAGTAAAAAAGAACATGTAGTCTTGGTAACAGAGGACCTGTAGTCTTGGTAACAGAGGACCTGTAGTCTTGGTAACAGAGTACCTGTAGTCTTAGTAACAGGGGGTCTTAAGTCTTAGTAACAGAGGACATGTAGTCTTAGTAACAGAGGACCTGTAGTCTTGGAAACAGAGTACCTGTAGTCTTAGTAACAGGGGACCTTGAGTCTTAGTAACAGAGGACCTGTAGTCTTAGTAACAAGGACCTGTAGTCTAATTAATGGATGACCTGTAGTCTTAGTAACGGAGGACCTGTAGTCTTAGAAACAGAGTACCTGTAGTCCTAGTAACAGAGGACCTGTAGTCTTAGTAACAGGACACATGTAGTCTTAGTAACAGAGGACCTGTAGTCTTAGTAACAGAGGACCTATAGTCTTAGTAACAGAGGACCTGTAGTCTTGGTAACAGAGGACATGTAGTCTTAGTAACAGAGGACCTGTAGACCATAGACAGGTGTCAGGTATGTCATTAGGTGACAAATAAATCTTCTGACTATTTAAGTCAAACACTTGGTAGAACTCATTGTTGCTATACAACATACCAGGTTAACAGTAAAATAAGCCTGTACTAAATGGGTTATTTACCTGTGTATACAACATACCAGGTTAACAGTAAAGTAAGCCTTACTAAATGGGTTATTTACCTCTGTATACAACAAACCAGGTTAACAGTAAAGTAAGCCAGTACTAAATGGATTATTTACCTGTTTATACAAAATACCAGGTTAACAGTAAAGTAAGCCTGTACTAAATGGGTTATTTACATGTGAATACAACATAGAGGAGATCGTTTCACAGATAATATAGATATTCAGTTTGTGTGAGTTTGGACTTGAATGAGGGAGTTTGGAAGGAGACTGGTAAATTTTGGTCTCAATGAGGGAGGATTGGCAGCTATGTACCTTATTGTTGTATGTCAATAGTGCCTATATTATTTTTATGACTTGTGTCTGTGAAATTATGACCAACACCTATGGTATAGGCATTTTAAAGATGAACAATTCCATTTTGAAGATTTCAAAAATTGATTCAGTTCCTGTTATCTTGAGGAAACACCTTTTTTAGGTGAATACTTAGATTTAAGCAGGTCTTCAGTTAAGCTCATATCCCTATGATAAGCTTTGTAGACACTTTGCCTGCTGAGTAAATGTTGTTGGGAGATTGCAGATAGTTTAATTTGTATACATTATATATACTCTGTCCATTTTACGAGAAGAGTCCTCCTATGTATTGGTGATTGTCCGCTGGGTAAGGCCCCATATATACCCACACTTATCTCCTATATCAGTCTTCAGGGGCGGTATATATCTCCCAGACAATCAACTTCATAACGTCCAGGTCGTCTTCATGCTGTACACGTTTATGGTAATACCTTATATGGAAATTAACAAAGAATTATGAATAGATAAAAGACCTGCCTATAACTGAAGTGCTTTAATATTTCACCTTTTACAATTACCTATCAATAACATGACAGTTTTGCCTAAGTCTTTCATCATGAATTTAAATAAATTCTTGATGAGGTTTCAATATCTGTTGTATCCATTAACCAAAACATAAGAATTACCCCATTTCGATTTTCTTATACAATATATTTCTAATTAATGTTTATGCTTTTTCTCTGCCTTGCTTGCCAGATATCCTCCTATTTGTGCCCCCCTCTTCTGTATTGTTGCCAGGTTCTTCAAACTCTCCCTTTAACAATTTTTTCAAATGCAGGATTATTACCCATATGAGGGGTTGTGACCAAACTGTTTAAGAACAGCTAATGCCCACTCCTGTAAGGTCCTGACAGAGTGTTCAGGTTTGTGTCGCTTTCTCTACATTGATGTACATCACAGATCACTCAGCAGTTGGCAGCACAACCTTTTTAACCTTTGTATCTCACCTGTGTTTTTAAGCCTTGGGCAGGTGTACCTGGAAGTTATCTCATTGACAGAGGCTACCTGTGCTTTATCAGCTGGTCATCTGGTAGCTATCATTGTCCTGCATTTTAACTTTATGGCAGGTGCTTCTGCTGGCCACACACTTCCTGTTGGACTGGACAATACTTCAGTTGACATGACCTGCTGCTGACAGAAGTCTCACCTGTACTGTGTGTGTCGATGGGAGCATTCATAATGGGATGCTTGTTTGATAAATGCTAAGTACTTTTCAAATATTGCTTCTGAGTTTTGAGATCTGGTGGAGTTAATCCCTGATGAGTAGTGCTCTAAGCGGTGCAGTGTATATCCTACAATAATGTGACAATAAGAGACTAATTAGTGCATTCCTTGTCACTTATTTTTACCTGTCTCACCTGTTACCTGAGGAATCCAGAGATAAACCTGATTACAGTAACTAAATACCTGTGTTCCTGCAGACGGTGCTATCTGTCCTATACACCACCGCAAATCTGCCAGTCAGCACTTGTTGGAGTATATTATAAAAGTTAACAGCTTTATACAGGCAGCAATTTGAAAAGGTAAAATTCTGGTTGAAATTAATCTCCTCGAGAGTATTTTCTAGTCATTTACCTTTTGATTACCGGTTGTTCACAGAAAGCGTGTGGTCTATTTGGACAACAAGTATGAACTACATACCAGACTAACTGATCATATACCTGAGTGGGCTTACCTGTGCTATTTTCACCTGTCTGAAAACACTTTATCTGTCATTGATCATGTGTGTTGAGCCTGTGTTTACCTCTACATTACCTAGTAAAAACAGGTAAAAACTACACCCGTACATCGCCCACTAGTGGCCTGAATTGGCTTGAAAGATCAGCATGGCTGCCCCTCAGGTGAGGAGAAAAATGCTAAATATAGTGAGTGTTCCTCATGGATCCCCTGTGGAAGGAATGTGTCATGCCACTAATCTTGTGTTGGAGACGAGATTACTATGAACTTGGATTGAAATATTTGGATCTGAGAAGGATCTACTGCCCACAGTATGATTTCCCATGTCAAGTTGAAGATTTCGTTGCAACTGTTTGTGTAGGTTTTAAGTTTTACATGAGACACTGACATAGCTACTACTTGCGCATTGCTGGTAAATACAAAACCTTCAAACTATTACTACACCTGTGGATTGCTACAGCAATGTTTCAATGGCCAGGTATGTGTAAGTACTGTATTTAAACATTGATCAGCTTCCAGTCAGTAGACAGATTAAAGCTTCTGTAAACTCTATTGTCAGGCTGGGTCACAGAAACACCTGATATTTTACCTGGGGATTACAATAGAAAACTGGCAGGTGAGACCCTTTATCATGGACTAATTCATACTTAGAGCCAAGTTTGGACTTGAGAGCTGGTCAGTGAAGGTCAGCATATTATGACAGTGGTTGGCTTGGAGGCCTGATATCTTCACTGCATGACCAGCCATTCATTAGTACATTTGCTGTTTTTTAGGTGAAAATCTCGTTAGTTGACCTTTGAACTTGCAGTAGTTTCCTGGTGATTGTTGAGTAGATAGTGGTAGGGCTGATGTCTGTCTACCCCCTGTGAGACTGATAACGGATACAGCATTACTAACATGTCACCAGTGTTCTCACACATCAGACTGTAAGTGTGTTAGTGTGGACTAATTGATTTTCTTTGCTAAAAGCTGGACACCTGTAGTAGAACAACAAAAGTGATCAGCACATCATACGTCAACATTTCATACCTGGATTTGTTTCCGTGCTCCTAGTTGAAACCTCTGGACATAGACTTAAGACCCCTAACCGTGACCTAGATATTAGGTATGGAGGGAATACATTTTCACCTGAGTTGACTTTTTACAGCAGCATTTGAATGCATTTGTGTACTGTAACATTGTGTATTGTGTATTGCTAACACTGGATAGTAGAACAGAGAGGCGGATGACATTTCAATGTTACGTACAGGTAATTTTGGTCACACCTTTAACGAGAAAAAGTACAGTCATGCTCCTGGATCAATAATTATGTGAAAGAGGATTTGACACATGTTGTTTGTGGTGATGGAAATATGTGTACCAGAGATTTACCTGTGCTGTCGTGTGTCTCGTTCATGTTGAGATATTTACTTGGATATTACCTGTGAAAATATCCTAAAACTTATAATCTGGGAATTGTGTTACAATAGCTTTTTACTCAGGTAATTCTGTCAATACCTGAAGTAGTATTTCTAGTAAACCAAGGACTGTATCGAATCTGTTTTTATGTGTCGGACAGTATCAGTCGTATCTGTGACGGGACAGTTTGGTGTACCTGTATACAGTGCGAAGTGTGCATATAATACATTGACATTACATAAGCCTTGTTTGCATACCGTAAATTTAAACACTCACGTCACTAGGTTGACATCATATGTGTACATATGACTTCTTCACACTTGAGTCACATTCTTCCTGTACATGGGATCATATGTATTCTTCACTGTTTTAGATAATGATCAATACAATTCAAAATCTGTGACGACTTAACCATTGATGACAGTTCAGGTTTTACATACATCGATCTCTACAGTATAGAGGTGTATTCTTAACCAGTACTTTGACAAGTATACTGGTGTAACCTAACAAGTGTACCTTAATGAGTACACTAGTATACCTTAATTAGTAGACAGGTGTGACGTTACAGGTATATATAAGTGTATACATACTGAAATGCCTCAAGTGACCTTGACCTTTGTGGGGACATGGATTGTGTTGATGGCCTGGGTGGTAATATTTGCACCTCCCTCTAGGTGTGATGTGGCCATCGACTACTGCCAGAACTCTTCCTGTCAGAACAACGGCTCGTGTGAGAATGGCACCGGGGATTACCAATGTCAATGTACTAACGAGTACACAGGGAAAGACTGCAGCGTACATGTAGGTTTGTCTATTTTGAAGTGTGTGTAGATGTCATTATGGGTGTTATGTAGATATGTATATGTGTTATGTAGATATATTTATGTGTGTTTTGTAGATATGTATATGTGATGTGTATATGTGTGTTATGTATATATGTATATGTGTGTTATGTAGATATGTATATGTGTGTTATATAATGTATATATTTGTGTTATGTGTATGTGTATATTTGTGTTATGTAGATGTGTATATTTGTGTTTTTTATATTTGTATAATTGTGTGATGTAGATGTGTATATTTATGTTATGTAGATGTGTATTGGTGTTATGTGTATGTGTGTTATATGTATATTTGTGTTATGTAGATGTGTATTGGTGTTATATGTATGTTTGTGTTATGTAGATTTGTATTGGCGTTATGTGTGTTATATGTATATTTGTGTTATATAATGTATATATCTGTGTTATTTAGATGTGTGTTATGTAGATGTGTGTTATGTAGATGTGTATATGTGTGTTATGTAGATATGTATATGTGTTATGTAGATGTGTATATGTGGGTTATGAAGATGTGTGTTATGTAGTAGTGTATATATGTGTTATATTGATCAATGTCTATGAGTAAGTGTGATGTAGATGTCATGTGATGTTGGTGTCTATATATGTGTATGTGAATGATATTGATATTTGTGTATTATGATAATTTCTTACATTCTTACTAATAAATAGTTTTTTTTGTAAATATGCGACAAACACAATTGCTCTTACCCATATCAGTCCTCGCCGTATCACACCCCAAAAGCTGTATCAGCCCCCGCCGTATCACACCCAAAAACCTGTATCAGCCCGCAAAACCTGTATCACACCCCTTTTGGAAATTTGTCGTTTTTCAATATTTCAAAAGAAAAATAGATCATACAATAGCAGTTTTTATTAGTAAGTATGTAATAAACAGAATAAAACACGCCTTTTTCCATATCACACCAAGTATCAACCCTCGACCAATATCGGCCCAAGGGCCGAAAGTTGATACTGGGTGTGATATGGAAAAAGCCATGTATTATTCTCTCTATATAGATGTACATATTTGTGATATGAAGTTGTCTGCATAGGTTAATGATTTAGATGTTTCTATGTAAGTGTGCTGTGTTGGTATCTGTGTGTTTTGTAGATGTATTTGCATTGTATATGTTAGTGATGTAGGTGTCTGTGTGTCATGTTTGTACAGTATATGTAAGTGTGGGATGTTCAAGTTGTTTGTAAGTATACATTTTGTGAAAAGTAAAGCCTGGATCTAAAGTGACCATTGGTATCTATTTTATTACGTATACATTTAAATATGCATTTATAAACTTACATATTTGATGTATTAGTCATATATACAGTAAGTTAGCAAATTGTATGTCTATGTTTTCATTGTTTTATTGCCATTAACATAAAACTTGAATATTAAATGGTATAAATTTAATCAAAATGACATGTGAAGTATAATATAATAAATTGTCTACTGGTGCACTACATCTGATAAGGTTTTGTCTGGTTAAATCAGGGCTTTAAGTTTTCTCTTAACAGGAGTTAGTCCTTACAGGTATATGTCTATAGGTACATGATTGTACATACACGTACATACTTAAAAATAAAAAATAAAAATTCTGGTAATGTGCTTGCCTCAAGCTTAAACCTGATATACCTGTGGTTTATGTGCCAGGCCTTGATATTTATAAGTTTTACACGTTGTAAATATCATGTTACTGTACTAGCATTCCATTAAAATGTTGTGTAACATGTAGAGATTCTGATCATACCAGGAGTGTAAACAAACAGTGAATGTTTGAGTAATGGCACACTGATGTAATTCTAAGGAATGTATGCAGTTAAAGGCCAGTGCACTAACCAAAAACACCATCCAACCATTAAAAAACATATTTCACACCATAACTATTTTCACTTTGTATTTGTTCCTTGTCAGAAATACCAAACCTGTAATGGGAATAGTCCATGCCAGAACAATGCCAGCTGTGTCTCCATCAACTTGACAGACTCATTGGGGGTAAGTCTATAGAAAAATGTGTCTCCATTAACTTGACTGACTCATTGGGGGTAAGTCTATAGAAAAATGTGTCTCCATTACCTTGACTGTCTCATTGGGGGTCACAGTAAAGTCTGAAGATAATTGTGTTTCGATCCATTAACTTGACAGACACATTGGGGGTTAGTCTATAGAAAATGTGTTCCTATCAACCTGATCCAACGATAGGGGTAAGTCTATAGAAAAATGTGTTTTCTTTTACTTGATGTCTCATTGGGGGTAAGTCTATAGAAAATGTGTTCCCATCAACCTGACCCAATTATTACGGGTAAGTCTAAAGAAATTTGTGTTTCCATTAGTTTGACTGACTCATCTGGAGTAAGTCTATAGAAACATGTGTTCCCATCAACCTGAAAAACCTATCAAATCTTGCTTATTTATTGGAGGAAAGTCTACTGAAAATAACTGTATACATATTGTTGATGTCTATACAAATGACTTTTACAAAGATATCATATTATCTGCAATGTTTGAAGAGATGAACATTTAAAAAATATCACTTAGATATATTTTTTAAATAGACACATTGCTCCCTGTGCTAAATTTTCACCCAAAATTCCTAAGCTATATTAAGCTATAATGGCCTTTTACTTATATAGATGTTTTATCATTAAATTTAACAACAATATTGTCTTGTTTCTCCAGCAAACTCGGCCTAGCTTCAATTGTTCCTGTTTGTTGGGGTATGATGGAGGGGTGTGTGGGGTCGAGATCGACTACTGTGCTGCCCCGGTCTGTCAGAACAATGGTACCTGTACCTCAAACACAGCAGCCGGAGAGTACACCTGTACTTGTCTCCAAGGTAAGTCAAACTTGTGAACTATCAAGACTTCAGTTTGTCAGATAAACTTGAATAATTTTAACAAATTGAAAACAAAATTAAAAACGATTTTTTGTTTAAAAAAGATATAGAAATATTCGCAAAATTTATACACTTTTGCTGCAATGTTGAATAAAATAAGAATATTTTAAAACTGAAGTACACCTTACATTATAGTCATTCATAACTAACAGAGGATAGATATGGTTCTATATGGTTGTACCCCTAGACTTTGCTCTGACTAAATCGTTTCACAACGAATCTTGAAACTTTAAATTCATTCAAATCTTTGGTAAAATAAAAATAAAAGTAAAGGTTATTTTTGAAAAAAAACATCTTTGTGTCATCAATTAATTGGCTTAACATCCCAAAAGATTTTATGAAAATTCACATAAATATTAGATTTGGCAAAGCATATGTACCTGGAATAATTTGGTGTGTGTGATGGAATTAGTTTAATCTGTGTTACCTTGCTCATTATATTGTTGAAGATATATGGAACATTAAATATAATTGTAACAAATTGATACTGGAAATTACCATATGTCTCCGAACCTTCAAGTTTGATACTGAGAGTTAGTATGTAGTAACATGGTTTGTTGTTGAGGTAGGGTAGTCCCTGTTATGATATAATGCTGGCGTTCAGTAACACGGTTTGTTGTTGAGGTAGGGTAGTCCCTGCTATGATATAATGCTGGTGTTCTGTAACATGGTTTGTTGTTGAGGTAGGGTAGTCCATGTTATGATATAATGCTGGCGTTCAGTAACACGGTTTGTTGTTGAGGTAGGGTAGTCCATGTTATGATATAATGCTGGTGTTCAGTAACATGTTTTGTTGTTGAGGTAGGGTAGTCCCTGCTATGATATAATGCTGGTGTTCAGTAACATGTTTTGTTGTTGAGGTAGGGTAGTCCCTGTTATGATATAATGTTGGTGTTCTGTAACATGGTTTGTTGTTGAGGTATGGTAGTCCCTGTTATGATATAATGCTGGTGTTCAGTAACACGGTTTGTTGTTGAGGTAGGGTAGTCCCTGTTATGATATAATGCTGGTGTTCTGTAACATGGTTTGTTGTTGAGGTATGGTATTCCCTGTTATGATATAATGCTGGTGTTCAGTAACATGTTTTGTTGTTGAGGTAGGGTAGTCCCTGTTATGATATAATGCTGGTGTTCAGTAACATGTTTTGTTGTTGAGGTAGGGTAGTCCCTGTTATGATATAATGTTGGTGTTCAGTAACACAGTTTGTTGTTGAGGTAGGGTAGTCCCTGCTATGATATAATGCTGGCGTTCAGTAACATGGTTTGTTGTTGAGGTAGGGTAGTCCCTGTTATGAGATAATGTTGGCGTTCAGTAACACAGTTTGTTGTTGAGGTAGGGTAGTCCCTGTTATGATATAATGATGGCGTTCAGTAACATGGTTTGTTGTTGAGGTAGGGGAGTCCCTGTTATGATATAGTGTTCAGTAATATGGTTTGTTATTGAGGTAGGGTAGTCCCTGTTATGATATAATGTTGGTGTTCAGTAACACTGTTTGTTGTTGAGGTAGGGTAGTCCCTGTTATGTTATAATGTGGGTGTTCAGTAACATGGTTTGTTGTTGAGGTAGGGTAGTCCCTGTTATGTTATAATGTGGGTGTTCAGTAACATGGTTTGTTGTTGAGGTAGGGTAGTCCCTGTTATGATATAATGCTGGCGTTCAGTAACACGGTTTGTTGTTGAGGTAGGGTAGTCCCTGTTATGATATAATGATGGCGTTCAGTAACATGGTTTGTTGTTGAGGTAGTGTAGTCCCTGTTATGATATAACGTTGGTGTTCAGTAACATGGTTTGTTGTTGAGGTAGGGTAGTCCCTGTTATGATATAATGCTGGCGTTCAGTAACATGGTTTGTTGTGGACATTGTAGGCTACACCGGTAACGACTGTGGGACAGATATACAAGATTGTAATGGACAGTGTCAGAATGGTGGGACCTGTGTTGATCTCGTCAATGCCTACGCCTGCAACTGTACTGACGGTAAGTACCAGCTACACTTATATATAATTAAGTGCCATAGTTTTCCACTTTTCTGATGATAATCACAATAGCTACCGTATATATGAAATACATGGTTCGTAAGATGATGTGTATGAAAGTACTATGGAGGTTATTCTACTGTAGAAAACTTCGCTTTACATGATAGTACAAGTTAGTAAACCTACTGTTTATGAAAGAATAAGGGAGATAATTTTGTAAAGGGTGATGATACAAAGAATCTACCAGGTAAGTCTAAATATGATGGTAAAATGGAGGTAAATTTACTGTATATATAAGTTAAAGGGAGATAATTTTATAAACTATGATGATACAAAGAAGCTAAGTCTAAATATGATGGTACAAAGGAGGTAAATCTACCGTATGTTTTAGTAAAAGGGAGATAACTTGCTGTAAACAGTGGTGCAGAGGACACAGACATGACAGTAAATCGGTGACCTCTGCTTCTGGGACATTTGGAAACCAAAATTGATTGGAGTTTTGGCAATTTTTGTGACTTATCGACTTTTCACTTTCTACACTATTTCTACAATATTACACTTCTCTGTGTCTTTTTATAACCTACAATATGGACCTCCTACCATGTACCTTCCCATGATCTAACAATGTTGATGAGCTTTTAAGACTCAATAAACTAAGATATGTAAGTATAACTTTATTGTGTATGTTTCAGCATGGACAGGTGTTAACTGTGATGTAGACATAAATGAGTGTAATTTGACACAGCCGTGCCAGAACAATGCCAGCTGCACAAACTCTGACGGCAGCTTTATGTGCCACTGTTATGGAACCGGTTACAAAGGTAACAAAGATTCACTTACATATATGTTTAATCCTACCCATGTTATAGCTGCTGCCTGCTGCAACGTGACAATAGGACATACATCTTCTGATCTAGTGAACAGTCCTATTTGTTTGTAAAAATATTCTCGAATGTTTCATCAAGTTATGTTGCTATAATGGATGCACATATTGGTAGGTAAATTAATTTAAAGAATTAATGTACAATTATTGGTCTTTTTGTAAACTTTAAGGTAAAAATAAAGACACCTTTTTCCTGATAGCTTATAGCGGTGTCACAGATGTTTAATTCAAGTTCTTTAGTTTCATGATACATGTAGGAGGAATTTAACTTAACAGTGTCAGCATTTAACAGTGTATACAGATTACATCATTATCTCAGTATAAACAATGAAAGAAATATTACAGGGATGTACTGTTCGGAGGATGTGGATGAGTGTCAGTTGGGAATGGACCCGTGTCAGCATAACTCTAACTGTACCAACAGTGTGGGTGACTACAGCTGTGCTTGTTCCCATGGTTACACAGACAAAAACTGCAGCACACCAGACTGTAGTCTGGTGACATGTCAGAACGGTGGCACTTGCCAAGCAACAGATGTATGGAAATGTGACTGTGTCAAGTACTACTATGGTAAGTAATCCGCAACATTACCACAGTAGAATATAAGTCATCAACAGCACTGCTACACTAATCCAAAACATTACCACAGTAGAATATAAGTCACCCACAGCACTGCTACACTAATCCGCAACATTACCACAGTAGAATATAAGTCATCCACAGCACTGCTACACTAATCCAAAACATTACCACAGAAGAATATAAGTCATCCACAGCACTGCTACACTAATCCACATTTATCACAGTAGAATATAAGTCATCCACAGCACTGCTACACTAATCCACATTTATCACAGTAGAATATAAGTCATCCACAGCACTGCTACACTAATCCACATTTACCACAGTAGAATATTAGTAATCCACAGCACTGCTTCACTAATCCACATTTACCACAGTAGAATATAAGTCATCCACAGCACTTCTATGTTAATCCACATTTACCACAGTAGAATATAAGTCATCCCGAGCACTGCTACACTAATCCACATTTACCACAGTAGAATATAAGTCATCAACAGCACTGCTTCACTAATCCACATATACCATGGTAGAATATAAGTCATCCACAGAACTGCTACACTAATCCACATTTATCACAGTAGAATATAAGTCATCCACACCACTGCTACACTAATCCACATTCACCACAGTAGAATATAAGTCAGCCACAGCACTGCTACACTAATCCAAAACATTACCACAGAAGAATATAAGTCATCCACAGCCCTGCTTCACTAATCCACATTTACCAAAGTAGAATATAAGTCATCCACAACACTGCTACACTAATCCACATTTACACAGTAGAATATAAGTCATCCCGAGCACTGCTACACTAATCCACAACAGTAGAATATAAGTCATCCCGAGCACTGCTACACTAATCCACAACAGTAGAATATAAGTCATCCCGAGAACTGCTACACTAATCCACATTTCCCACAGTAGAATATAAGTCATGCACAGCACTGCTTCACTAAACCACATTTACCACGGTAGAATATGTCATCCACAGCACTGCTTATAAGTCATCAACAGCACTGCTTCACTAATCCACATTTACAACGGTAGAATATAAGTCATCCACGGCACTGCTACACTAATCCACAACAGTAGAATATAAGTCATCCACAGAACTGCTACACTAATCCACATTTACACAGTAGAATATAAGTCATCCCGAGCACTGCTACACTAATCCACAACAGTAGAATATAAGTCATCCTGAGCACTGCTACACTAATCCACAACAGTAGAATATAAGTCATCCCGAGAACTGCTACACTAATCCACATTCACCACAGTAGAATATAAGTCATGCACAGCACTGCTTCACTAAACCACATTTACCACGGTAGAATATAAGTCATGCACAGCACTGCTTCACTAAACCACATTTACCACGGTAGAATATAAGCCATCCACAGCACTTCTATGCTAATCGACATTTACCACAGTAGAATATATTAGTCATCCACATCACTGCTTCACTAATCCACATTTACCACAGGAGAATATAAGTCATCCACAGCCCTGCTACACTAATCCACATTTATCACAGTAGAATATAAGTCATCCCGAGAACTGCTACACTAATCCACATTTACACAGTAGAATATAAGTCATCCCGAGCACTGCGACACTAATGCACATTTACCACAGTAGAATATATTAGTCATCCACATCACTGCTTCACTAATCCACATTTACCACAGGAGAATATAAGTCATCCACAGCACTTCTACACTAATCCGCATTTACCACGGTAGAATATGTCATCCACAGCACTGCTTATAAGTCATCAACAGCACTGCTTCACTAATCCACATTTACCACAGGAGAATATAAGTCATCCACAGCCCTGCTACACTAATCCACATTTATCACAGTAGAATATAAGTCATCAACAGCACTTCTATGCTAATCCACATTTACCATGGTAGAATATAAGTCATCCACGGCACTGCTACACTAATCCACAACAGTAGAATATAAGTCATCCCGAGAACTGCTACACTAATCCACATTCACCACAGTAGAATATAAGTCACCCCGCGCAGCGCTACACAACTCCACATTTACCACAGTAGAATAGAAGTCATCCACAGCACTTCTACGCTAATCCACTTTTACCATGGTAGAATATAAGTCATCCACAGCACTTCTACACTAATCCGCATTTACCACGGTAGAATATGTCATCCACAGCACTGCTTATAAGTCATCAACAGCACTGCTTCACTAATCCACATTTACAACGGTAGAATATAAGTCATCCACGGCACTGCTACACTAATCCACAACAGTAGAATATAAGTCATCCCGAGCACTGCGACACTAATGCACATTTACCACAGTAGAATAGAAGTCATCCACAGCACTTCTATGCGAATCCACATTTACCACAGTAGAGTATAAGTCATCCACAGCACTTCTATGCGAATCCACATTTACCACAGTAGAATATAAGTCATCCACAGCACTTCTACACTAATCCACATTTACCACGGTAGAATATGTCATCCACAGCACTGCTACACTATAACAAAATATAAGTCATCAACAGAGACACTTGGGGGACAGACACTGACACATATTGATGATGTTTATTTATTTATTTAATAAGTATCAACAGACAAGGGAGATAACCTGTTCATCCTTATGAACTTTGCATGTCATACAGACCTTGCCCAGGTATTGAAACAAGTTTCTCTAATTTATATACCAGTCTAGCTAACCAGACTTGAGGAACTTGTTTTCAGGTATTTATCTGTCCTGTTAGGTAGATTGATTACAGGTAAGCCACGTACCCTCAGGTGGAAATGACTGTACCTTTATGAGTATGCAGCAGATTTGCCCTGAGGGTATAACGATTTCACATGCTTCAGTACTGGTGTCTAGTGTATAGTGGTTAGCTTGTTACATACTGTGGAAGTGTAATAAACTAGAATGTTTATAGTCTGAAAATCTACAGGCAATAACTCAAATTAAGTTCCATAAATAACATGGCTCTGTGTGGACAATCAGTTTCAAAACAAAGTGGCCAGTTTTAGAGATACTTGTGGACAATAATATACATAGAGGTATTATTTTTCTCTCAGAGCATTCAAGAAATTAAAATAGATATTTTGACTTGCAGGTGGAAAAGCCCCAGTTCTCATGTCATAGAAACGTTTAAACTTGACTTATGGACTTGCAAATAGTATACTAGTGGACCTTTCAAAATTTGTCATGGGAGGAAAATGAAAAATCTAAAAAAGAAAGAGGCTTATAACCAGTACAACTACTTAAATTGAAATTTTTATTTATCTATAATTGTGACAAAATAATGCAATAAATTGCCATAGAATAGCTAGGATTTTACTTTGCAATGAATTATGCAGATATAAATGAAGTTTAGCAAAAGACAAGAAGTAGAGTGTTCTGTTTGTATCAAAGGTCAAACATGAGGGTGACAAATCTCATGTCTCCGACTTACGAGGGAGACATGACAAATATGGTTATGATATATGTTGATTTATTGAAGGAGTTAAGGATGTGGGTAGGGTTTCTAACATTGGTTGATTTATTAACGGATGTAAATAAACACCCATAGAATCAATACTAAAGCCAGTTTATTGTAGGAAACTATCTCAAGTTTATGGCTCTGCACCAAGATTTTACAAACTAACATACTGTTAGCTTATAAATGTAAAAAAGACCCAGTGTAACAACTTCTGTTTAGCAGACAATGATTCAAGCTCAGAAATTAATGTCCTGATCTGTAATAATAGCAAGTATTACAATGGAGCTTTTTCTTTTTTTTCAAAGTTGACTATACTTGTTTTGGTTGTAAAGTTGACTATACCTGTGTACTGTCTGAGACCAGGTAATCATACCTGTGACTGTAGGGGTATAGGGACAGAACTATCAATCAGCTCACTAAATGTCTCTTACAGCAGGTCCTAGGCCAGACATGCTTAATTATCTGTTACTTACTGAGAGGTAAAACTAGTATAGATAATGGTCCAATGTAGACAAGTACATGTATATAAATTAGTGCTTTGGCCTCAGACCTGTAGATATGCTCCATCCGCCATGTGTTCAGTCAAGCGTGACATGTCACAGGCCTCACTAAGGTGGAAGTTAATTTGTTCAGTACCCTGTACATGTGATGATGTCAATGGACAGACACAGGGGTACCTGATTGAAAACAGCTCATCTGTTGATAGACACTGGACAAGGTCAGTCTCTCAGTTAGCATTGGTGAATGTATCTGTTCCTACTCAGGTACCTCAAGATAAGCTATTGTTAAAATCACAGGTGATTTAGCGATTGTGGATTTTATTTTCATGATTTTTGTGAGAATTTAGGTGACTTTATATTTAAGTTATGCTCTTAATAATGAAACATTTGATTATCAACAGATTTCCTTGTCTGGAGTGGTTATTTACTAATGAATAGAGAGAGAGAGAAGGGGGGTGGGGGGCTCTAGAAATGTGTTGGAGGAGGTGGGGTTAAGCATTTAGAAATGTGTAGGGGGAGCTTAGCCTCTAGAAATTTGGGAAGGGGAGTGGTTTAGTCTGTGTCATCAGCTAATTAGGGAACAATGAAGACACGAGTGGTGATTGGCTGCCCCCATCACATGCTTACACTTAATGGATTTATATTTTCATTTTTCTTTTCTGATACTTTCATGGTGTCTACCTTTACATAACCTCAACATATTTTGTCATAATCTCTGCATTGTGTCAGTGCCCTAGCTGGCTAATATACAGACTTTCAAGTTTTCTATCAGTCATGGAGGTTATCAGTTGATCCTGCTTCTCTTCTGAATTTAGTTGTATGCTAATGCAACTAGAAGTTGTTGAAATAAGTCCTGCTTATTAGTTTCTGTCATATTGGTATGAGGTCACTTTGCAAATTTGTACAATATGGCAAAGATGTCATTAAGGGAGTAATTAATTAACATATTCCAAATACAATGGGAACTGTAACACTGTAGTTGATCAGGTGGATGTTGAGTGGATGTCAGATGTTATACACATTTGTCCCTCATGGAAGTCACATTTTCAAAACCTGGTTTTCCAAGTCGTACTTGTAGAAAAGTCTTTATGGTGTTGTGGGTTGTTCTGACTTTCATTAACTTTACAGCCGTGTAAGATTGTAAAAGTATTCACACAGTGTTTACATTGCCATCCAAGTGTTATCCTATGGTACCATCAACACTAATGTGGGAGTGTCGTTTGGTACAGATCCCTTAGTACATGTCCTAAAGGGGAAACATTATCTGGTAGGGACAGACTTAAATAAGGTCTGGTCAACTGGACATAGCGATAATAAGGTTTCCTACAGTGTATAGTCGACACATTATGATCTAAACTGTCCGGTAGTCAGTCAGTCTGCATCTGGAATTATTTTAACAAAGTATCATATTGTATATTTCTGGTAGACTTATGTCTGACTAGAGACCTATGACAGAATGTAATGTGATGATATGGACTATTGTTCTACAGGAGAATTATGTCAGAATGAAGGCCCTTGTCTGAGCAATCCATGTAACCAGGACAACATCATAGAGTGTCACCAGGACGTCGCCATCTCACCTCCAACATATACCTGTGAATGTAAACAAGGTAATGTCCTATAGAGTTAATACCTGGCGTAGTCATTTGTTTACGAACAGACCTTGTACTTAAGATATCTCTCAGTACATAGAGTGATGAGTATCCTTGTGTTTACAGCAAGTCATTTTAAAAATTGTCTCAGAAAAACTTATATGTATTTAACAAATATTATTTGAAGTAAGAACATTGATAGAAGTCAGATGTGCTGTGGTTAATTGCGGGGTGGTGATGTTACATTTGATAGGACAAGTAATAAGCTTATCTAGGGTTCACCTGTTTTTGCAGTCTTTGAAACTCCATAGAAAAAACATTGGATTGATCTGTATCATCATCATGCCAGTAAGTGGTGGTGGTGTTACATTTTGACAACTTGTCCAGAAGTACGAATGTTATAATGTTTACAGGTTGGAATGGCACGAGTTGTGATACTGACATTAATGAGTGTGAATCAAGTCCCTGTCTGAACGGAGCGACGTGTTACAATTCGGATGGGTCGTACAACTGTACTTGTCAGGAGGGATACAATGGCAGTCACTGTGAAGATGATATAGACGAGTGTGCTTCCAGTCCGTGTCACAATGGCGGCACATGTTCTGACCTTGTCAATGGATTCAAATGTACCTGTACTGAAGGTAAGTACTCATGCTGAAAGCTGTTTTACTAATTGGTATAATATTTAGGTGTAGTCAACTCGGATAGGTCCATGGTCAGAATCATTTCAATAATACTACATTTTACTGGAATTTGTTTTATTATTATGCTGTATCTTTTTACTGTACCATTCAAAGTCATTTCCACTCCAACGAAAACAACTTATTTTTGAGTATATAATAAAGGAGATTTTATTTCATTTATAATGCGTATACATTTACAATGCTGTCTTTGTTTCAAAATATCAACTTACCACATAATTATTTCATTGCCTTCCATGTATGATGAGGGGAGGTGTACACTTTGAAATAACCCTGATTTCATTTGATTAAAAATCATTTGATAAAAAAAAAAAATGATGACCTCTTGCAAACACTACTATTTCTTCCATAATTCCTTGTAATTTGTTGTTTAGTTATTTGGAAGTTTTCAAAGAGTTAAAAAAAAGATTAATTGAAGGTTTGTTGTTATTTTGTGATTCGTGTGTATGCTGTTAAGTGTCTTTGTCATTGTGTTTTATATATTTTCCTCATTCCAATGCTGTTTGTAGGCTACACTAACGTGACCTGTATGGAGGATGTGAATGAGTGTGTGAGCAGTCCCTGTATCAACGGCGGGCAATGCAATAACCAGCCTGGGGACTTCCAGTGTGTCTGTACCAGTGAATACATGGGCAAACTCTGTGCACAGCGGGTAAGTACAAATTATTTACCGTTACGTTAATTACAATTCTAAATATTTATTGTTTTGCAAAGACTTTGAAGTATCATCAGTTTTAAAAAACATCATTGCTTTAAAAATAATACCAAAGTGCGCAGGAAGATATAATACTGATGTTTTCTATTGCTACAGAACCCAGATTACCAGAAAATAAGTCCTGACGACAACCTGGCCATTATCATAGGCCCTACAGTGGCCGCAGTCTTACTGCTTATTGTTATTGGTAAGTTTTCATGTGGATTGTCTCCCTTTAACCTTCTTTATTCTTACCCCAGTTGACGGATTCCTGAATGGAATTCACTAGTCCGGCCATAACAATACCAATGATAGAAATTTCTTCATTCTTGTGAATTCTTATTACAAATACATCCTTTAAAATGAGAGATATCTAATTTGAATATAACGTACATGTAAAAAAAAAATGGTCTATATTTTAATATAAATCACTTTTTTTAAATGAAATCATTCAAGGTGAAAGGTCTGATTATATTTTCATACATCGGTCATTTAAACTGTGCTTGGTTTAGGTTGTTGTGTTTTAGTATTCCAGTAACTGTATCGTTAATAAAAAACATTTTATCAAAATGAATAATATTATCAAGAAGTCATGATTGTGTCTTTTAAATTGCAGGTGTTATCATATTTTTGGTACTGGCACGGAGTAAGCGTGCCACAAGAGGTCACTACAGTCCAAGTCGCCAAGAAGTTACAGGGTCAAGAGTGGAACTTGGAAATGTAATGAAACCACCCCCAGAAGAACGCCTTATATGATAAATTCCTTAGATATTTATTGATGGATAATAACTATGGTAACACCATGTGCTCGGCTGACAGGTGATCACAGGGCTGATGGATTAAGAGGACAGTATATCTGTACCCAACTTCATCACCAGACACTTACAGATTTGGTGTAGCCAGCCCTGGTCAGCTGTTAGCAGTCACACCAGTGGAGGGGTGTACCTATGGTGCTATGTAGGTGATGCAGTGCTATCCTATGGAAACAACTAGGGATGAATATCTCCTAGCAATGGAGGCCAAAGGTATCGCCTACATATCTCAGGATGGATATCTCCAAAGAACAGGGATATGTATCTGCTAAGAGGTGGGAGATGGATATTACATGTGAATCTAGGAATGGATATTGGATATTGGCTAGGAATGGAGGGACATGTATCTGCTCAGGGATGGGATGTGGATATTTTCTACGAATCTGGAGATTGATATCTCCGATAATCCTACAAATTGGGATGGATGACTTGGTATCCACTACAAAGTGATAGATGGATATCTCAGAAGTAGGGGTGTATATACTTGCTACAGGTCAGTGGATGGTGAATGGATGTTTCCTATAAACGCAAGGTGGATATCAAGCTGATACCATATACTAGAATAGTTTGTAAGATTTATGGCAAAACTTTGTAACAGTGTTACCACAAGTTAACATGTAAGCAAGTCATTCTAAATGAACAAACCTTACGCAAATCATCTAGATAATTGTGGCAGCTTTTTCTGCGATAAGCTATATGTTAATTGATGATGATTGTGCCTAATTTTGCCAACTTTAGCTGCAGTGTGTCATGGTGTTAGTCTACACAGCACATGTGTGTCGATGATGATGTCAATTGTGAGCTTATTAAGGAGAAGAGAAAGAGGTTTGGTGGATAGCAGAAGAGTCGGCATTGGAAAAACTGAGATAGATGTCATTGATCACTATAGACGGAATCTAACCATGACACAGAAACTTTCTATGCATTAGTTAAAGATCTGAATCAAAGTGTCATATCAAAGATGTGTCATCCTGCTGAAACAGTTGTCAGTCTTCCCACACTCATAACAGCTACTACAGTTTGATTTGAGGACATTAGACTCTGAATAAGGCCGACTATGTGATTTTCAACTACAATCTTTCCTGCATTTTCCTGCACTGTTTTTCCCGTGTATTGTTCATTTGAATTCAAAGTAAATAAGGCTCGCATTCAAATTACATTTGTATTGGAAAATTGAATCACTTAGGTTAAATTTCAAAATTCCCATATCAGAGCATGGAATTGGACAGAAGGCTTCAAATTAAATACAAGACAAGAGGACGCTAGACATGAATGTCAGGACAATGTCTTTTCTGGGTCAAACACTGTCACCAGTACACAGACTAAACAGCTGGTATATATGTAGGCTTCATTGTGGTTTATGTTACCCTTCCACATTTAAATGGGTGGTTTTTATTTGACAATTTTTTCTGAAGCCATCTTCTGTAATATTTTTTACCACATTTTCAAAACAGTGTAGGAGGCGAACTGTTAAAAAACAGTGTAGGAGGGGAACTGTTTTAAGTGCTATTTTCAAGAAGACATGCTGTAGATTTTATTTTTGTCGTGGTGATTAATATTTATCACAATTATGGAAAAAAAATTGTCTGTATATTTAGATATGTTTAAATCTGTTAATGCCATCCATTGGCTCACTTTTATAACAATTATGTCTGTTCAATTTTGTTGGATTTGCCATGTGATTGTTCTTATTATATAAGAGTTAGGAGACTTTCGCCTGCACTGTAATGACTAACTATGTGTGTACAAGTGTCTGCAAAATGGGTCATCTAGTTGTCCTCAGGTTTCCAACATTCTCTGTACAACAGTAACGTTTGTCAAGTGTCATTGGAACACTAGAAACTGTCACTAACAATGAGACCGGATATAAGGACCCGTTAATTTGAGTCTTTAATCTTAAATGTGTACCGAATACCGAGTGGTATGACTCCATAGATATTTCTGTTGTACAGAGCAATATGTCCTTATTGACATATTAATCATATTTCACATATCATCAACATCATCATCATCCCATTCTGGATAACATGGATGATTTACTTAAATAAATGGTCATATGGACTTAATTAAATACCCAAGGGGGGTAACTCTAATGCAAATCAATTTTGTAAGGCAGCATGTCCTCTTAAGTGAATTTCTAGCCGATCTGCAGCCACTTCGCATTTTTCAATATATATGTTTTAGAAAAACGAAAAAAAAACCCACCATAATTTGGATAGGAAAAAATTGCATTAAGTTTTACAAAAAATCATTCAAAATATATTGTTTACAAGAAAAACAATTTAAATCAAATTTTTCATCGTGATCTTGAAAAAGTTGTTGTTTAGAAGTGCCATTAATTGGTTATATATGAGGTGTGTACTTAATACACAATTTAGCTGTAATTTGACTACCAAACTTTAATTTTATTTTTATGAAAAGGAATGTTTGCTTAAGTTCTTACAGAATTGTACAAGAATGAATGTATCATACTGTTGTTAGCATGAATGTAAATATTTCATTAACTAGATTTATGTACATAAATACTAATACGATCAAGATTCACATCCGTCGGATTTTATCATGTAAACAAGAATATCTGTGATATTAGTATGATTTCAGATTGATATTTTAATATTTTGCCAGGAATTTTATTCTTTGTGTAAAAGGTTGTAGTGAATTGGAACGTGATATAAAGAAACGATATTGACCACTGGTATAAAGATTAGATAGAAACCGTGTAAGTCTAGTACATTTTCGGTGAGAACATTCCAATATTTTCCTAATTTATCCAATTATTTTGGAATTCCCTTTCATATTCCTCTATAAAAAGACTTCAAAATTAAAGAGAGGCACTTTTTATCTTAACTCATTCACCCCTGAAATTTCATAATGAACTATTCCAACATTTGAATTGGAAGATTTCAAATGTGTCTTCAGGGGGTGAATAAGTTAGTTAAATCCTTATGGTTATGGGGCCATGTTGAAAGAAAGTTGCAGTAGAAGGCCTTTATGAATATTGACATACAAGTTTTGGTTCATAAATAACGGTTTCTCTGTGTAGGATATATTTGGGCCTAGTCACTGATTAATGAAAAACAGTCTGCATGCAATGTTTATCCTAAGCCCATTGTTATAATTTAAGATTAATTGTCTAAATATGCCATTGTTATATTTTAGACTGTGTTTGAGTATGCTACCATGCATAATAGCTTCAGGTCAGTGTATATACCTCATACCATCACATCGTTTCTGGTAGTGTTCCTCTCCTCTTAAAAGTAACGGAGCTGTTTTTGATGGGACAAAGTCTCCACCAATAATTACATAGATAAACCCTATAAGGACTAGAATTGATAGGATAGCACGTAAGAGCTGTTAACAATATTATCATCTTTATAAATCCTACTCATTCCTACATTGATAATTATTTAGAAAACAAAGAAGAAATTAACAAACAGAGGACATATTCACAAATATATATTTTTTTAAATAACCTGGCACATCTGATTTATACATTACTGCGCCATTGTTTATTTAGTATGGAGCATTTTAACCAGACTGATTATGCAAAAAATGACACTTTTTCTTTCTTCAAAAATGAGTATATCCTGCATCAATGAATTATCAGGCAGAGATGTTAAACTACTACAGTATAACAATGTTAAAGTGTTTAATATACTCGGTATATGTGATTTTAAATTTGTGCTAGCAGCTTAATTAGCATACGGCCAGTGTAGTATTTTATTGTAAATATTAACATGAAATACCAAGCTTGCCTTAGGATGGTCATCATGTAGATATATATTCAGGTACTGATACCTAGTGTTGGTGCTATGTGGCTATCAGACAAAAACACTGGTACCCATTCATTGGTTGTGATTTTATACATTATCCACATATCATCTGTTCTTGTCCATTTTATATATATTGGTCTGTAAGTATAAACCGATCTATTGTTATACATTCCGCTGTATCTGTGTACAGAATCATTCCATAACAAATATATCGGTGTTTTTAGAGGCACTTTACACTCAACTCATTCTGATAGGAACTTTACACTCAACTCATTCTGATAGGGACTTTACACTCAACACATTCTGATAGGGACTTTACACTCAACACATTCTGATAGGGACTTAACACTAAACTCATTCTGTTAGGGACTTAACACTCAACTCATCCTGATAGGGACTTAACACTAAACTCATTCTGATAGGGACTTTACACTCAACACATTCTGATAGGGACTTTACACTCAACACATTCTGTTAGGGACTTTACACTCAACACATTCTGATAGGGACTTTACACTCAACACATTAGGGACTTTACACTCAACACATTCTTAGAGGGATATTACAGTTAACAGGTATTCTTGTAACTGGGATTGAACACTTTACCTATATTCTTGCTAAAATTAAGAGAAGATACATGTGTTAATTCAAAATAGAGACTTTGAAGAAATTAATAGGTATACAGAAAGATTGATTTCAAATATCGATGTTCTATTGGAATTGTAGTAAAATAGAGAAAAAAATGTTAAACACGTAGAAATAAACAACCTTATAAACATTGTGTAATATTCCTCACACGGCATTTGAATACCTATGTAGTATTGCTATTTATAATGTGTGATACATTATTGGTTGAGTACTAGGGTGATATGGTAGATGGAAACTGTAGAGTATGGGGTCTGAGATAGAAACATTAAATGGGGAGGGGGTCGATTGTCAAGGTTATAAGGCCATGTAGTATTGCATTCATGTATATTTGGTATCAAACGTTTGGAGCAATAATACTTTTACTATGTATGATTCCCAACGTAAAGTAAAATTATACAAACATCCCTCAAAGATTGAGTTCATACCAGTAACTCATAGCAATCATTACAGCCAAACTCATTTGTTTTTAGCTTGAATCTCGTCTAGTGTTTTGATCCACTGCACATGTCCACAAGTAGATGTCATTTAGCTGTATATTGTGTCAGCTTTGTCACACCTTCATCCATGCAAAATAACGTGTCATCAAATAGCTGTCTATAATACAGGTGCCTGGTTTTCAATCAAAATGAGGTCAATCCAAAGACATCTTCAGTATTAAATTGTTAATAAATTTTAGAAGCAAATGATTAACGCAAGAATCACAGTTAAAAGTATGTTACAATGTTTTTGTGTGTTCTCTGCCCAACAGAATGCTACCTTAGTGTGTTCCAATGTCTTTTGTGTGTTTTCTACCCAGCAGAACGTCTATCTTAGTGTGTGTGTGTGTATGTGTTCTCTATCCAGCAGAACATCTACCTTGGTGTGTTACGATGTCTTTTGTGTGTTCTCTACCCAGGAGGTCTTTTGTGTGTTCTCTATCCAGCAGAAAGTCTATCTTAGTGTGTGTGTGTGTGTGTGTGTGTTCTCTACCCAACAGAACGTCTACCTTAGTGTGTGAGTGTGTGTGTTCTCTATCCAGCAGAACGTCTACTTTAGTGTGTTACAATGTCTTTTGTGTGTTTTCTAACCTGCAGAATGCTACCTTAGTGCGTTCCAATATCTTGTGTGTTTTCTACCCAGCAGAATGCTACCTTAGTGCGTTCCAATGTCTTTTGTGTGTTCTCTATCCAGCAGAACGTCTACTTTAGTGTGTTACAATGTCTTTTGTGTGTTTTCTACCAGCAGAATGCTACCTTAGTGCGTTCCAAGATCTTGTGTGTTTTCTACCCAGCAGAATGCTACCTTAGTGCGTTGTGTGTTCTCTACCCAACAGAACGTTCTCTCTTCAGACATTGGGTTGTAAGAACTGAATACACTTTGGGCAGGTAACTGATCCAATTTGTCATATAATGAATAATACCATATACTCATCCCCTCATTTACAAGTATCATTATAATCACCTATAGTTCATTAATTAGAGTTGTAAATTAAATATATTTATATTGGAATATCAACTATGTACATTATCCAATATGATTGCCTCATCATATTAATACATTATATATTTTAGCCGCATTACCATACTTTTGATATTATATGATACAAGGATGTATTGTGCAATACTTTGCAGATGACTACTATCCGGTAGTGGTCTAGATGTCACTTTGGGGTGTACTGCCCATGTTGAGATGTTTTATTACTATGTTTTGTAACGGCTACGCATATGTTTTGTAATAGTCATGTTCGATGATAGTGTCATATTGTGCCGAGAAGGAGAAAAATAAAATATCCAATAGTAACATAGACATGTCTCTGGGTTTTTTTCTCTCTGTAAGTTGACACAATTCAAACAATACATAAACACATTGTACTGAGTTCAAGAAGTCTTTTTTTTTTTATCAACTATGAATATTGTATGGGGTGCTGTGTTTATGTTAAATAACGTTCTGTGATAATACCCATTCCAACAGATATCATTTAATAATTTCGAGTTCCTAACATCACCTACTTGTTTCAATTTTATTTATGTGCAAATTATGAAAGCCAAACATCGCTCTTCAGAATGGATGACATCACAAAAGGTAATTCACTTTACCTGGGTTTACAAGAGTAATCTACTAATAACATGTAAGCCATACATTTTATTAGAAAAAAAAAAGCTTTACACTTTATACAGACAGTTAATGGAAATCATCAGATGTCGATGTCAAACAACACATCCCCAGTAACTCTATAGAGATAATCAGATGTCGATGTCAAACAACACATCCCCGATAACTCTATAGAGATTATCAGATGTCGATGTCAAACAACACAGCCCCAGTAACTCTATAGAGATCATCAGATGTCAATGTCAAACAACACATCCCCGGTAACCCTATAGAGATCATCAGAGGTCGATGTCAGGCAACACATCCCCTGTACCCCTATAGAGATCATCAGATGTCGATGACAAACAACACATTCCCTGTAACCCTATAGAGATCATCAGAGGTCGATGTCAGGCAACACATCCCCTGTAACCCTATGGAAATCATCAGATGTCGATGACAAACAACACATTCCCTGTAACCCTATAGAGATCATCAGATGTCGATGTCAGGCAACACATCCCGGTAACTCTATAGAGATCATCAGATGTCAATGTCAAACAACACATCCCCTATAACCCTATAGAGATCATCAGATGTCGATGTCAAGCAACACATCCCCGGTAACCCTATAGAGATCATCAGATGTCGATGACAAACAACAACTCCCAGTAACTCTATAGAGATCATCAGATGTCGATGACAAACAACACATCCCTGTAACCCTATAGAGATCATCAGAAGTCAATGTCAAACAACACATCCCGGTAACTCTATAGAGATTATCAGATGTCGATGACAAACAACACATCCCGGTAACCCTATAGAGATCATCAGATGTCGATGACAAACAACACATCCCCGGTAACCCTATAGAGATTATCAGATGTCGATGACAAACAACACATCCCTGTAACCCTATAGAGATCATCAGATGTCGATGACAAACAAAACATCCCCTGTAACCCCATAGAGATCATCAGATGTCGATGTCAAACGACACATCCACGGTAGCCCTATAGAGATCATCATATGTCGATGTCAAACAACACATCCCCTGTAACGCTATAGAGATTATCAGAAGTCAATGTCAAACAACACATCCCCGATAACTCTATAGAGCTTATCAGATGACGATGTCAAACAACACATCCCCGATAACCCTATAGAGATCATCAGATGTCGATGACAAACAAAACATCCCCTGTAACCCCATAGAGATCATCAGATGTCGATGTCAAGCATCACATCCCCGATAACTCTATAGAGATTATCAGATGTCAATGTCAAACAACACATCCCCTATAACCCTATAGAGATCATCAGATGTCGATGACAAACAACACATCCCCTGTAACCATATAGAGATCATCAGATGTCGATGTCGAACAACACATCCCCGGTAACCCTATATATATCATCAGAAGTCAATGTTAAACAACACATCCCCGGTAACCCTATATATATTATCAGAAGTCAATGTCAAACAACACATCCCCGATAACCCTATAGAGATCATCAGATGTCGATGACAAACGACACATCCACAGTAACCCTATAGAGATCATCAGATGTCAATGTCAAACGACACATCCACGGTAACCCTATAGAGATCATAAGATGTCGATGACAAACAACACATCCCGGTAACTCTGTAGAGATTATCAGATGTCGATGTCAAACGACACATCCCCGGTCCCCCTATAGAGATTATCAGATGTCGATGACAAACAACACATCCCTGTAACCCTATAAAGATCATCAGAAGTCAATGTCAAACAACACATCCCTGGTAACTCTATAGAGATTATCAGATGTTGATGTCAAACAACACATCCCCTGTAACCCTATAGAGATCATCAGATGTCAATGTCAAACGACACATCCACGGTAACCCTATAGAGATCATCAAATGTCGATGCCAAACAACACATCCCCGGTAACTCTATAGAGGTCATCAGATGTCGATGTCAAACAACACATCCCCGTAACTCTATAGAGATCATCAGATGTCGATGACAAACAACACATCCCCTGTAACCCTATAGTGATCATCAGATGTCGATGTCAAACAACAAATCCCCTGTAACTCTATAGAGATTATCAGAAGTCAATGTCAAACAACACATCCCGGTAACTCTGTAGAGATCATCAGATGTCGATGTCAAACAACACATCCCGGGAACTCTATAGAGATTATCAGATGTCGATGTCAAGCAACACATCCCCGATAACTCTATAGAGATCATCAGATGTCGATGACAAACAACACATCCCCGGTAACTCTATAGAGATTATCAGATGTCGATGTCAAACGACACATCCCCGGTCCCCCTATAGAGATCATCAGATGTCGATGTCGAACAACACATCCCCGCTAACTCTATAGAGATTATCAGATGTCGATGACAAACAACACATCCCCGGTAACTCTATAGATATTATCAGATGTCGATGTCAAACAACACATCCCCGTAACTCTATAGAGATCATCAGATGTCAATGTCAAACGACACATCCACGGTAACCCTATAGAGATCATAAGATGTCGATGACAAACAACACATCCCTGTAACCCTATAGAGATCATCAGATGTCGATGACAAACAAAACATCCCCTGTAACCCCATAGAGATCATCAGATGTCGATGTCAAACGACACATCCACGGTAACCCTATAGAGATGATCAGATGTCGATGACAAACAACACATCCCCGGTACCTCTATAGAGATCATCAGATGTCGATGACAAACAACACATCCCTGTAACCCTATAAAGATCATCAGAAGTCAATGTCAAACAACACATCCCTGGTAACTCTATAGAGATTATCAGATGTCGGTGTCAAACAACACATCCCCGATAACCCTATAGAGACCATCAGATGTCGATGTCAAACAACACATCCCCAGTAACTTTATAGAGATTATCATATGTGGATGTCAAACAACACATCCCCGGTAACCCTATATATATCATCAGAACTCTACAGACTCTTCTACTTCAGACACTTCCCTTGATCTTTTCTTACAACATGGCAAACAGGGACGGCTTACTACTAAGCTGTACGATGAACGGGACGATTTCGATTTCCGTATCGTAAATTTGCCCTTTCTTGATGGTAACATCCTACCTTCCCAACCCACATTTTATTCATGTCGCAGATGATAAGGTATGCAAGGCCTTGCTCCGAATATCATGACTTCCGTGATAAATTTTGACTGCTGATGGACAGACAGACAACACCGGGTTTTATCGGTGGACATTTGTCTGATATATATTTTATCAAAATTAGACCAATGGAATCGTGGACTTCTGCGTCATATTCTACTAAATGATGACAATATACACACATTAATTTCAGAGAAACTTCAGACATATCTGTCCATCCGGTTAACCACATCGGGATTGTATTGTATACATACGAGCTTAATTAATAAAAACTCAACCATTTTGTTGTGTAAAATAATGATTTGCTCCTATTTATTGAGTATAAAAAAGAAACGCCGATGAAAAATAGTGATATAGAGAAGGTCTCACCTGTCCTTAGGTAAGGGTTCAGTGGTCAGACACTGCGTCAGTTCGGTGTGGGACAAATGATAGTCGGCTAATACTACTACAGTTGTTAAGTTTTGATGTAGACTTTTTGACTCGTAACTATCATTCCCTACAAATACCACGACAAGCAATGTAAGCGTTAGGTAAACGAGCGTTTCGTTTGGTTGATCCATGAGATACACAGCCTTCATACAACCCGCGTCACAAAATCTCGAGGTCGTTCAAACGTTACACGAGGAAGGCTTGAAACGCTTCATTAGGAGAATATTTCAAAGAGAAAAAGCTATGTGTCAACACTCTCCTAAACACCCCGTATGTCGTGTTGTGGAGATCACAGGGTTCTAGAACACAATAATTCATGTTCTAGTTTGATTTCACTCTTATTTCTCTGATTTCGTGAAGAAAGTAATCAGTCTTATATTTCAAAAACACCAGACTACGACGAACGACTTGGCTGATAGTCTTTAGGTTCAATACATCCAGTTCTATGTTGCACATTATTCTAGAGTGAGGATATTCACTACATCCGTTTCTTTGTCATACAGTAATACAACTCTATTTCTAGTATAATTAACACATCGAGTTCAAGACCCATACATCCAGTTCCCAATGGATACGTCATTTTTTTGTAATTATTAGCTTTTTATTCCGCGTAAGTGATAACGAAAGAAAAAAGGCACAAACACAGATATGGCTTATTTTCCAATGAGATCGTGAAATCATACTCCTTATCAACCCGCATCATTTGGAAACCCTGTGTTGGAAGTTTGTACGTCAGCAGTTGATATCTATCATAGAAATCATAATAATTCGGACCAAATTCTTGAATATTGAATTAACTGCGAAATGTGAACATCATAGGTTGGATCAGGGATGTTACTTTCAAGAAGGGGAAAGTTCACTATCGATAAATCGCAATTGTCCCGCTTATCGTACAGTTAAGTACAATGTAGTATGCCGTCCATGTTGGTCATGTGGTACGTAAAATTCGAGGAAAGCGGCCGAAGTAGAAGAGTATGTGACTTCCTTGATTTCAAGCCATGGAGAGTATATACGTTCGATTTGGTCAATACATTTCTCGTTATTTAAAGACAGCACATCGTGGATATACCTGAATGTGAAATTAAAGGACTTGGCTAGCTTTTTATTGCCA